GTTACAAACAGAGTATTGTTTTGACAGAACAATTGATCAGTTCATGAAGACAGAATGCTCCATCAGAATGACAAGGATGGCCTCCTGACTGAATCATGACACAGGAGTGGAGCATCCCCTCGCACAAATGTTTCATAAACACACATTAATTTTATAATCATCATTGAATAATCCTAACAAATGACCATGTCGAACAGCAGTTTTCAGACCTTCCTTCATCAAATCTGCATCAAATAATTGCACTCATCATCAGCCACCAAAGGCTGCAGGGGACGGATAGTCACCCATTTATTTAATACAGGTGTGTGGAGGCAGGGAAATATCTAAAACATACTGTACAGGAAAGTGGGTCCTGAGGTCTGAGTTTGAAAATCACAAACGTCAGCCTTTTGCTAATTGTAGATCTATTGCTGTAGAGCTTCTTTTTAGAGGGCTGCTTATATTTAGTTTCTGTGATCCACATTTATAGAATTAACTTGAAGTGGGCACAAAATCTTCCCTTCCTTAAATTAGGATGTAAAACTCTCTATTTACTGTAGCCTACCCATGAAATTCTAATAGTATTTATTCAGTCCATTTGTTTGTGTCTTTGCTTTTCACATGTTATGTTTTCAGTCTTTTTATCCGTTGTTTAACCTTTTTTATAATGTGTTTACTTAGTTTCTTGTCTTTAGTTTGTTTCTGTATTTTCCTGTTTAATATTTTGTGTATTTTTGTCTCTTATTTTCTCAGATATAAACGAGTGCAGGCAGCGGGTTTGCCGTTTGGATCAACAATGTAAAAACACACGGGGGGGTTACACCTGCATTGACCTTTGTCCAAATGGTATGACCAAAAGCATCAATGGTACATGTGTGGGTGAGTATCTGGCTCTTCAAGACAGAAAGCATTAGCTAAAAAAAACATACAAACAATAATTTATGCAGAAAATGATTATACGTTATCTCCTTCTTGTAGATGTCGATGAGTGCAGGGACGGGACCCACCAGTGCAGATACAACCAGATCTGTGAAAACACCAGAGGAAGCTACCATTGCACGTGTCCACGTGGTTTTAGATCTCAGGGAGTTGGACGCCGATGTGTCGGTATGTTAAAATCTTTGATTGTCTTTAGTAATTAAGTAAATAGCAAAAAGTTTGAAATGTATTTTCTAACATGAACAAGTTGAACCTGGAATGTGATGTCGAGCTAAATTTAACTTTGGATTTCTGTCAGGTTTGCTTGTTCCCTGCACTTTGCATCAGCTCTGTCTCTTCTGTCTGCAAATTATTTGTTTTTTTTTTGTTTTGTTTTTTACTCTGCTGTTTGCACACCTTGTCCTGCAACTGCTTGATTATGTGACCAGATTCTGTGTTTAACTGCTGACTGAACATTTAAAACAAACAAAGGCTTTGCTTTGCAGATCGACATCACATCACTGGTTCATTTAAGAGATGTAAAAGCTGCAATGTTTTGTTGCTGTCTTTGCTGTTTATTTTGCATTTAGCAATAACTCTGTCCTGCAGTTCTTTTTATTAGGTTTATTTTTTGGTTACTCACTTCTTTTGGACATTCATAAGACATTTCACATCTTTCTTTCCTGAGCTTTCAGAATGAATTACTAACCTTTCTCCAAACAAATGTCATTCATCTGTTTTATGAAGCTGTAAGTGCATTAGAGCAGGGGTTTCTAAACGTTTTCATGCTTCTGCCTTCAGACAGCATTAGCTTCTGGTAAGGGACCCCATTTGCAAACTAACC